GACTTGCTTCGGATGCTGGATCTGACCTACATTTTCATTCCCAAGTAACTATAAGCCCTAGCTAAACCAAACTTGCATGGATGATGTATCTAGGGATGGACACTACCAGACTTGCTTCGGATGCTGGATCTGACCTACATTTTCTTTCCCAAGTAACTATAAGCCCTATTTGGACCAAACTTGCATGGATAAAGCATCTAGGGATGGACACTACCAGACTAGCTTCGGATGCTGGATCTGACCTATATTTTCATTCCCAAGTATCTATAAGCCCTAGCTAAACCAAACTTGCATGGATGATGTATCTAGGGATGGACACTACCAGACTTGCTTCGGATGCTGGATCTGACCTACATTTTCATTCCCAAGTAACTATAAACCCCAACTAAACCAAACTTGCATGGGTGATGTATCTAGGGATGGACACTACCAGACTTGCTTCAGATGCTGGATCTGACCTACATTTTTAGCTCACCTGAGCCGAAGGCTCAAGTGAGCTTTTCTGATCACATTTTGTCCGTCGTCCGTCCGTCTGTCTAGCTGTCCGTCTGTCTGTAAACTTTTCACATTTTCGACTTCTTCTCAAGAACGGCTGGGCCAATTTCAACCAAACTTGCCACAGAGTATCCTTGGGTGAAGGGGATTCATGTTTGTTCAAATGAAGGGCCACGCCCTCATTCAAGGGGAGATAATTGGGAATTAATGAAAATTTGGTGGCATATTTTAAAAATCTTCTTCTCAAGAACCACTGTGCCAGGAAAGATGAAACTTATGGGGAAACATCCTCAGGTAGTGTAGATTCAAATTTGTTCAAATCATGACCCCCGGGGGTAGGGCGGGGCCAAAATGGCCGACCAAAGTTTTACATAGAAATATATAGGAAAATTATTTAAAAATCTTCTTCTAAAGAATGTCAAAGCCATAATTCATCATATTTATATGGGAGCATGCTCAGGTAGTGTAGATTCAAGTTTGTTCAAATCATGACCCCAGGGGGTAGGGCGGGGCCAAAATGGCCGACCAAAGTTTTACATAGAAATATATAGGAAAATTCTTTAAAAATCTTCTTCTCAAGAATGACAAAGCCATAATTCATCATATTTATATGGAAGCATGCTCAGGTAGTGTAGATTCAAGTTTGTTCAAATCATGACCCCCGGGGGTAGAATGGGGCCAAAATGGCGGACCAAAGTTTTACATAAAAATATATTGGAAAATTCTTTAGAAATTTTCTTCTCAAGAATAGCAAAGCCATAATTAATCATATTTATATGGAAGCATCCTCAGGAAGTGTAGATTCAAGTTTGTTCAAATCATGACCCCCAGGGGTAGGGCAGGGCCAAAATAGCCGACCAAAGTTTTAGATAGAAATGTATAGGAAAATTCTTTAAAAATCTTCTTCTCAAGAATAGCAAAGCCATGATTGGTCTTTGGACTACTTTTGGATTTAAGCTTTTCAAGTATAAACCAATTCTGCTTTTCCTAGCCACAGTGCTCAGGTGAGCGATGTGGCCCATGGGCCTCTTGTTGAATTTCAGGGTCCCTGGGTGAGGGCTTTGTGTGTTAGGGCGGAGCTCTAATGTTTATATAGTGAAAATGCATGAATCCTTTGAAAATCTTTTCCTATTTTGTTGGGTATAATGCCAAACGATCTTAGTATATGTTTATGACAAAAAATCTGCTTGTTCCAAAAATGGTTAATTTCCTGGCCCCTGGGACAGAAGTTCTTTGAGGGTGGTGGGGGGGGGTTACATAATCTGAAATAATTTAATGCTTTGTAATCTGTACTTTGGTATTAATCAGCAGCATTGTGAATTTAAATTTTAAAAAAGTTCTAAAATTTTGAAAGGTATGGCCTCGAGGTCAATGGTTCCTATGGGATGGGGAGCTAAACTGTCGACCAACCCTAACACAAGTAGCCCTGACCCAGGGGCCCTGAAATTCACTAAAAGTGGAAATGCATTTTCTCTGTGTTACTCTGATCTACCTCTAGGTATTAAGTAACCAAAATAAGCATGCTGGGTGCATAATTATGATAAGCAATGGTGCCTCTTTCAAAATTGTGAATTTCATGGCCTCTAGATTAAAACATGAATCAAATGTTGGAAAGTTGTCACATGACACTCAGGTGACCTATAAGGCCGGTGGGCCTCTTGTTTAAATTTAAAACAAATTTAATTCAAGAAAATTTATCAAAATTTCTAGGGTAGGAATAATAAGAGTGATGTGATCGGCCTCTTTAAATCATGACTGCAAGGTGTAAGATTTGGCAAAGGTTTTAATTACAATAAAATGTTTTCTTATAAGGAGTAAATTAAAAAAAACAACTTTGAAAATTTACTTTTCAAGAATACTAAAGCTTTGGGTCAAATGCAAAAATTAAATCATTTTATATGCTAAAATTCTTACATAAGTGTTGTCAAATCAACAACGTCTCAAGTTACATGTTTTGTGTCCATTATAATTCCACAAACAAAAATGCAATAATGTCAAATCGAATGATTTTTCGGTTACTCTCTTTTTGGATTGAGTTATCAGTTTCTCGTTTAACTTCTTTTAGATTGAAAAATTTGTTCTGCTGTATACATGTATATAATCAATGGTAATTGTAACTTCCTCTTGCATTGACCCAATAAAGGTAACCTAATGCAGAAAATCAAAGCTTTATTCTGTCAATGCCCTAATAAAACCTGTGCTTATATACCAACGTCCTATAAGCACTGTGATTCCATGTTTATTGCAATTTATACACTATGGCATCTTAGTTTCAACTGCAGAGATGTGCCTAAATTTGGTTGAAAATAGCTCATATTGAAAATATGCTGCAAAATAAGTCTATTCCCAAGTAACTACGAGCTCTTTCAGACCAAAATTGCAGAAATCTGTACACAACTAGATTGTTAGTTTAATGTAAGACTCTGCGTTAAGTTAAAGACAACATTCATTTAGGTGAGCTCTAGCTGTAATCTCTAATAATTAGGGCTGTATCAATATATCGATACGTATCGATACTCAAGAATGATATCGTATCGAAAAATAACTTCCAATACGTATCGGACAGACACTTTTTCTACTAATTCTGTTAAAAAGATGGAAATTTCAATCACCAGATTATATTTCACTTTTTTGAATTTAATCTGTTTAATAATTATATAATTTGTAAGGAAATAACACTACAGTTTTTATAATTGTTTCAAAATACAAAGAGAATTTTATTTGAACATGTACTGTCATTAAAATTTTACTGTCATTAAGAGTTTTAATTTGAAATGTTATTTGTAATGACAATGAGACAAGAACTTTAAATGGGTAATAAAACACTTAATTGTTATGAAATTCATGCATTAAAATTATTTAGAAGCCTTTTCTGATGGACTTGTTTTAGAATCCAATATATTGCATATCGCGTCAAAAAATATTGTATCGTATCGAAATTTTTGGCTCAATAATATAACTTATGTATATATCTCTCTGACCAGTGTAGTGTTTCTCCTTGTTCAATGTCTTTTTTATACGCCCGTCTTAAGACGGGACGTATTATGTTATAGGCTTCGTGTCCGTCTGTCTGTCCGTCTGTCCGTCCATCCGTCTGTTAGCTTTTCTCGTGTCCGGCTCATAACTTTAATACTATAAGGCCTAGAGTTATCAAACTTTGTCAGCTGATACATCTTGGGTAGAAGGTGTGTCGCGCACAAAAAGTAGGTCGCTCTGACCTATAATTAAAAAGTTATAGCCAAATATGGAAAAATCCTGTCCGGTCCATAACTAGAAAACTATAAGACTTAGAATCATCAAACTTGGCCAGTTTATGCATCTTAGGTAGAAGGTGTGTCGCAACCTATTTCAAGGTCACTGTGACCTTTAATTTATGTGAAATTTAAAAAAAAAATTATTTTTTTTCTATTCATTTACACATTCAAAAAAATGTAAAATTACTGCACTAACCTTATTAGAAAAATGTTAAATCAAGAAAATACTTATTTTTTTAGCATATACTTGACAGCAATCTATAACAAATATAATGTTTGTTAGAGAAATTCCACCACTCCCATGAGTCTAATTATCAAGCACTGGTCAAGAAGAATTTTGATAACAGAAAATTGCATGTCAAATTAGAGAGAGAAATTAATGAGTTTAGTGTGAGGAGTGAGCTGTAAGAGCATCGATGCTATCTATATCCCTTGAGTATTGGGCCAAATTGGTAAGCCTGTTGGATTAAAAATAGCTCTTGTTGGCTAGCCGAAGTTTTAAAATGAATTTGATGAGAAGTAATTAAAACAAATTTGATATTGCATATTAAACTATTTTGATATTACATAATATTATGAACTTACAAATTAATTTTATGGTGGTAGGGGTGAAATCTGCATGTCCATATGAATTGCATATTAACAATTAACTGTCTGACATTAAATCTAAAAAGAAAATCATTGATGTTTTATATCTTTTAAAAATGTTTTATGGTAGATAGTGCAGATCCAATAATCTTTTGGGAGTAATGAGTAGACAAGCATCCAGTTAAAGATTAATTAATGTGTTCAATGTAGGAAGGCTAGCTGCATGTCTCTTTCATTTCTTCAGAGCATGGTCTAATCTGTATCCTTCGGGAATTAGACAGAACTGTTGGTCAGTTTATATTTGATGGCCAGCCTTTTATTTCCAAAATTAATTAGGTGTAGATTAAGTTGTGAAGACTAATTTGATATTTTTTAATATGATAGGCATTTGGCAAGGTATAGAAATCTATGAATGATGCAATATTTGTTATAGTTAACGCCTACACCACAGGAGATAGATAAACAAATTTTTTAAGGTGTGTAAAAATCATTAAAATCTAAAAATCAAGGTTGACATGATTTTCCTGCACTTTTAACTGTTTAAGATACATTGTAATTGTAATTTTTTGACGGGCGTATCATGCTGTGGCGTGGCACTTTATTTTCAGATGAAGTTTAAAATTAATTTGTTGACCCATTTTTTAATTCATTGATCTATTGTAGATCCAGAATGCTATCCAAAACCAAAAGGGTATGCAGAAAAAGAATTGCAAGACAGGTATTAAATTTTCTTTGAACATTGTTTGGTAGCCGTCTCCTGTCCAACTGACAAGAAATGGCCGGACTCAAAACATTTTTTACATTCCAGGAGACAACATTTAAAAAAAAAATTCCCTCACATTCAGTCAACAAATATTCCAAGATTTCTGTGAAGAAAGTTTCCCAAACCCAATAATGTTACCCTGAGAGGGCAAGCAAAGATTATTTTTAAGAATTGGCCTAATTTTTGAAATCATTTAATCTTGCAAGTTTTCTTTTTTGATAAAAGAATAGTTTTTAATTAAATATTCTCAATATAAAAGAAGATAAACTAAATTTGACTCAACCTTGAATGTTTCATAACTTTATTGCCTTCAAACTTGTTAAGATAATGCATCTTAAGGTAGGATTCTTCTCTGGTTTCTGACTAGATGAAACATTCAAAGTATATTTGCTTATATGTCTTATATATTGAGTTGTAAGTAATTTAAAAGATCATATTTTTCTTTTCCTCATCACAACTGTACAACTTTAAATAGAAATGGCAAACTGCGTTTAAAAACTAGCAGGGACTATATTTCTGGCGGAATGGTGGCGTATGAAAATATCTAGACTTCTTTTCTGCCTCTCAAAATTATAATGGAGCAATGAATTTAGTTATAGATTATTCACAATCGAAGTCTTGGAGAAATTTTCAAATGTAAGTTAGATTAATAATGAGGGACTAAACTTTCAAACTATATCAAATAAATATGATTTTTCAAACAAAATAGAACTTTATTAGTTTTAAAACCCTTCCTATCAATGTATTTGAGCCAAAAATCCATAAAAAGTATTTTTTCTCTCTTAGTAAACGATCAAAACTTTTTGTTTTTGTATCTTTTTGTACATTTATAAGATTACTTTATTATGTGAAAATAAGAAAAAGTTAAATAAAGGAAGCATATGAAAATAACTAATATATCCTAAAAAATTAAGAAAAACAGAGAAAATTCGGATTAGCCAACATCCAGTTAAGTTAAATTATTTATGTAAATCTGGTAATATCACGCTATAGATCTGATATAGTTATATGTTTTTATGCAAAAAGAGCAATCATTAAACTTTTGAAATAGAAGTAGGTATCACATGATTGGCAACAGTTATTTTTTATTCTTAATGTCAAGGAAAAAGATAATGATCTTGACCTGACCTTACCTCTAATATAAAATGATCAAATTTAATTTCACCTATACTATCACTTACTGGTATTGTCTTCTTGATTCTGTGAAAATTTCATTTATTTTTAAATATTAGAAATATAAGAAGAATCCTACCTTAAGTAGAAAATGTGCTGCATCCTACAAAAAGTCACTGTGATCTTGGGCGCAATCTTGACCATAAGTTCTAGTGAAGCAAAGTGAAGCAGTTGTAAAGGACAAGACCAGACCAGGGTTAGACCAGTATTTGGCCCCCGGATTTGGGTGTCTTTTAGAGTGATCCAACAGTTTATCCATTTGTCACCCATGCTACTAAATGAGTATTGTTTCTAAGATTTAGGATATACAGGGGTCACAATGAGGTCAGGAAATAGGTCAATTTTCAAAATTTCTCATTTTTATGCAAATTTTCATCAATTTTACAGCACATTTTGTTTTGGAATATGTAGAAAAGAGCACACGCTTGCCATTCTACCAAATATATCTATTTTTAGGTCACCTGAGTCACTCAGGTGACCTATTGCCATCCGTGTTTGTCCGTCGTTCGTTGTCCTTTGTGTGTTAACATTTGAACATTTTCAGCTTCTTCTCTGAAACCGCTGAACCAATTTCAACCAAATTTGGCACAAAGCATCTATGGGTGAAGGGGAACAAATATTGTGAATTTCATGATCCCTGCCCCCCTGGGGCCTGAGGGGTGGGGCCAAAACCACTAAAATTAATGCAATCTTTAAAAATCTTCTTCTTTACTCCTGGACATCAAGCAGTCAAACTGTTTGCATGATTGTAATCAGCAATGAGTCCTCTACCAAAATTGTGAAATTCATGGCCCTGGGGTCAGGGGTTCTAGTGCTAGGGCGGGGCTAAATAAGTAGGTAGTGAAAATGTATTATTTCTTTGAAAATCTTCTTCTCTGCTCCTGGGTAAGAAATAAACCAACTAAGTACATAGTTATGACGAGCAAGAGTGCCTCTACCAAAATTATGAATTTTATGGCCCCAGGGTCAGGGGTTCTGGTGTTAGGGCGGGGCTCTATTGATTATATAGTGAAAATAAATGAATTCTTTGAAAATCTTCTTCTCTGCTCCTGGGTATTAAATAAACAAACTAAGTACATAGTTATGATGAGCAAGAGTGCCTCTACCAAAATTGTGAATTTTATGGCCCCAGGGTCAGGGGTTCTTGTTTTAGGGTGGGGCTCTAATGATTATATAGTGAAATGCATGAATTCTTTGAACATCTTATCCCCTGCTTCTGGTTAATATACTAATGATCTAATTACATATTTAAGGCCAGGATTTATTTTATTTTCTGTTTTACAAACCCCCTGCTCAATGTTTTTAATTTTCAGAAAAAAATAAAACAATTTTTTTTCTTTCCGATGTCAAATTTGAGTCGGGATCGAGATTTCAAATTTACGAAATTGCATTTCCGGTTTTAAGATAATAAAGCTAGCTTGGTTTAGTGTAAAATTCATCGGTACGAGTGCCATTCAAAACGTTTCACCCGTTCAAAGGACAAATAAAATGCCGACGACTTTATTGCACAATGACATGCTGGTGAGATAATTATGTATTTGTTTCAAAAATATCTGTATGTAAATTATTTCCCCCCCCCACCCAGGTTTTAAACTGCCCGTGGTAGCTATTGCATATTGCCAGCGACATTGTTTAGGTCTCTGTTATAGCTTACAGTCTAAGCATCATTCTTCAGAAAAGGGTTGCTTATTCATCAGATGTAATGAATAAAACTATGGGAGAACATGGAGAAGTTAGGTCCAATTGAGGAAGAAATAAACAATAACCTGAAGAAATAAAAAAAAATTCAACTATTAAAAGGCAAGATGTTCACCCTACTCCCCATTACTCCCGGTCTGTTTTATGATAGGAATTATAATTTTAGGCATCAAGTAAATTTTAGAACAATGTCTACACATTCACCTAACACATATTAAAAAAATGAAGATATATTGAAAGACTTTTAAAGAATTGATTTTTTAAAATATATTTTGACCAACATCACAAAATTTATATAACTGGCCCAAACTGGCAGATGATGAAATAAGCAATTAAATGTTCTTCTTTCCTATTTGTAAGCATTATGTGTCCAGTAGTAAGGAGCCTATTAGACATGTTAGAATAGCATAAAATTTTCTGAAATTCTTTGAAGTAAAAGAATTTTTTCAAAGCAAACTTACATTTCTGAATGTACAAATGTTAATAATTGATTTATCAAAAAAAAAAATTTATTTCCTTCTCCTTCGGGACTTTTTTATTCTCATGTTCATAACTAAACCTAAGCATAAAAAAAATGCTGGCCTTATAATGAAGAAAGCGGCCTCTTTCAAATAGATAATTTCAGGGCCGCTGGGTCAGGGGTACCAGGGGGGTACTTTGACTAAAAATAAATGGGTATTAAATAAACGAACTAAGTACATAGTTATGATGAGCAAGAGTGCCTCTACCAAAATTGTGAATTTTATGGCCCCAGGGTCAGGGGTTCTTGTTTTTGGGTGGGGCTCTAATGATTATATAGTGAAATGCATGAATTCTTTGAACATCTTATCCCCTGCTTCTGGTTAATATACTAATGATCTAATTACATATTTAAGGCCAGGATTTATTTTATTTTCTGTTTTACAAACCCTCCGCTCAATGTTTTTAATTTTCAGAAAAAAATAAAATAATTTTTTTTCTTTCCGATGTCTAATTTGAGTCGGGATCGAGATTTCAAATTTACGAAATTGCATTTCCGGTTTTAAGATAATAAAGCTAGCTTGGTTTAGTGTAAAATTCATCGGTACGAGTGCCATTCAAAACGTTTCACCTGTTCAAAGGACAAATAAAATGCAGGGTTCGACACTAACGGTAGCCCGCTGGCCCGGGACAACTGAATATTGAGGTCGGGCTACTAAACATGCCTTTAAACTTGCCCTGCAGGGCTACTACTAAAAGAAGTTTACCAAATACTCACTCAGAGCAACAAAATTAATCATCAATTAAACACAAAGTACCTAATAATTATTAAAAATATTTTAAACATGTTTTATCATCGTAATTATTATTTTTGTATGTCAAAATGTAAACTTTAAAGGTGATTCGAAATACCCTAAATGATTATAAATGTAGACTTTTTCAACAGTTAAAAGTCTTAGGTACAATCATAAAGTGACATATAATTTTCAGGCACGTAGCATCGTTTTTGAAAGTGGGGGGGGGGCCAACCTGAGAAATTTTTTTTTACTTACCTGAAAAAGTTGACAAGCAAAAAAAAAAAAAAAAAAAAAAAAAAAGCGCGAAACTTTAAAAGCTGCCCAAACTGGAAAATCCTATTTCGTGGGGGTGGGGGGTGGGGGGAGTAGTTGCCAACTTTTTCAAAGCCCACTTACTATCACTTCCAATTTTTTCCTTACAATCCTTGCTATCACTATACTATGGTTATAAAGTGGGGGGGGGGGGCAACCATCCTATCAATGAACATTTACTATAGTAAAGGTTATGTTGGGGAAAAAAGTGGGGGGGGGGCCAGGCCCCCCTGATACTATGTCCCTGATTTTTACCCAAAATACAGCAAGAATGCCGGATTTTGCATCTCTATTTTAAAAATTTCCCGGGGGAGACCCCCTGTACCCCCACCGGCAGGAGGGGGAAACCCCCTCCTGCACCTACCCCCCTTGTCGCTTCGCGACTCCGCCACCAGCCTTCGGCTGCTGGACAACTAATACATGAACAGGGCTAGTTGAAATTAGAAATGGCTAGCCCTGCTGACAACTATGGTTTTAAAGTTAGTGTCGATCCCTGAAATGCCGACGATTTTATTGCACAATGACATGCTGGTGAGATAATTATGTATTTGTTTAAAAAATATCTGTCTGTAAATTATTTCCCCCCCCCCCCAGGTTTTAAACTGCCCGTGGTAGCTATTGCATATTGCCAGCGACATTGTTTAGGTCTCTGTTATAGCTTACAGTCTAAGCATCATTCTTCAAAAAAGGGTTGCTTATGCATCAGATGTAATGAATAAAACTAATTGGGAGAACATGGAGAAGTTAGGTCCAATTGAGGAAGAAATAAACAATAACCTGAAGAAATAAAAAAAAAATTCAACTATTAAAAGGCAAGATGTTCACCCTACTCCCCATTACTCCCGGTCTGTTTTATGATAGGAATTATAATTTTAGGCATCAAGTAAATTTTAGAACAATGTCTACACATTCACCTAACACATATTAAAAAAATGAAGATATATTGAAAGACTTTTAAAGAATTGATTTTTTAAAATATATTTTGACCAACATCACAAAATTTATATAACTGGCCCAAACTGGCAGATGATGAAATAAGCAATTAAATGTTCTTCTTTCCTATTTGTAAGCATTATGTGTCCAGTAGTAAGGAGCCTATTAGACGTGTTAGAATAGCATAAAAGAAGAATGTACAAATGTTAATAATTGATTTATCAAAAAAAAAAATTTTATTTCCTTCTCCTTCGGGACTTTTTTATTCTCATGTTCATAACTAAACCTAAACATAAAAAAAATGCTGGCCTTATAATGAAGAAAGCGGCCTCTTTCAAATAGATAATTTCAGGGCCGCTGGGTCAGGGGTACCAGGGGGGTACTTTGACTAAAAATAAATTAATGCTTTGAAATCTGCCCTTTGATAAGCAATGGTGCCTCCTTCAAAATTTGTGAATTTCATGGCTTTTGGATTAAAACATGAACCAATTGCAAATCGCTGGAAAATTGTTACATGATACTCAGGTGACCTATAAGGCCCGTGGGCCTCTTGTATACACTAATATTAGATACAGTTTATGTGCAAAAATCTCAGATAGGCAAGCTTGTGCTCTATGTTTTCCAAAGAGAAATGTATCTCAAATATGATGAAATTCCACCGAAATTGAGGAAATTCTGGAAAATGTCTCACTTCTGCATCCGATCCTCTAGTGGCTTCCATAAAAGCTTTGAATCTAAATTAGTGCTTGTTTTAAAGTAAGCATCATTTTAACTTCTTAACTACAAAGTATCAAAATTTTACCAGTGTTCTGTTTTTACATCAAATAAGGGGCCAGATTCGGCCGTTACCCTTTCTTGTCCGTAATGATCATGAAGTACTATCATATATTACTACTGTTTGTTATTATACCCCCCGCAAACGAAGTTTGGGGGGGTATATAGGAATCACCTTGTCCGTCCGTCCGTCTGTCTGTCTGTCCGTCTGTCTGTGCAATCGTGTCCGGTCCATATCTTTCTTACAGAGGGACATTAGAATCTACTACTCCACACTAAGATTGCTCATGACCTAAGGGTGTGTCATGACCTTGACCCAAGGTCATTTGGGGAAGTTCAAGGTCACTGGAAGAAAAATTTCATAATTCGTGTCCGGTCCATATCTTTCTTATTGATAAACTTGGTAGGTTCTCATTTCACACAAAGATTGCCCATGACCCAAGGGTGTGTCATGACCTTGACCCAAGGTCATTTGAGAAAGTTCAAGGTCACTTGAAGAAAATTTTCAAAAATCATGTTTGATACATATCTTTTATAGATAAACTTGGTAGGTTCTCATTTCACACAAAGATTGCCCATGACCCAAGGATGTGTCATGACCTTGACCCAAGGTCAATTTGGAAAGTTCAAGGTCACTGGAAGAAAATTTTCATAATTCCTGTCCGGTCCATATCTTTCTTATGGATAAACTTGGTAGGTTTTTATTTCACACAAAGATTGCCCATGACCCAAGGGTGTGTCATGACCTTGACCCAAGGTCATTTGGGGAAGTTCATGGTCACTGGAAGAAAAATATCATAATTCGTGTCCGGTCCATATCTTTCTTATGGATAAACTTGGTAGATTCTCATTTCACACAAAGATTGCCCATGACCCAAGGGTGTGTCATGACCTTGACCCAAGGTCATTTGGGGTAGTTCAAGGTCACTGGAAGAAAAATATAATTCGTGTCCGGTCCATATCTTTCTTATGGATAAACTTGGTAGGTTCTCATTTCACTGAAAGATTGCCCATGACCCAAGGGTGTGTCATGACCTTGACCCAAGATTATCTGGGGAAGTTCAAGGTCACTGGAATAAAAATTTCATAATTGGTGTTTGATACATATTTTTATTATGGAAAAACTTACTTCTGAAAAATCCAGTGGGGGGTATTTTGTCCCGTTTGGACAGTTCTAGTTACCATAAGTCCTAGAAGATGCATATCTAACGTTTGGAAGGTCTTGAGTTCAAATATCAGCTGCAAATGACGTAAGTCGATAAAAAAATGGGTAGGAAATGTTTCTTCGTGATGTGCCCTGCACTTTGAAGTAAAAGTTGCTGGTCTTTTGGACGAGACCTTGAAAACTAAAGCCCTATGTCACTGCAGATGTAAAAATGATATAGATCCCTCAATGCGCAATGGCCGTAAGTGCCAAGTAAATGTCAAAATTTGAAGCCCTTAACCGATATACTGTGACGTCTCTATATGAGGTAGATATATATTCTCAAATGGGACGTACATATGTAAAACAATATGTATACAACCAATCAACCAGATATGGAAAGATAAGAAATTTTTTATCAATTCAATGCACATTTTTCCGTTTATGACAAATAAACAATATTATTTGGGCTTTTCATTTGCTTCGATGTGTACTTTATTCATTTTATTTGATTTTAGTTTTCACAGTCCATCAGTTAAAAATGGAGTGAAAGCCAACATCTTAAAAGTGAACAACGAACTTTTCTGCATCCAAATACTGCTGAGTTTGCTATACTTTCTTCTACAGTACATCTCCAATATGCTATGAAGAGCGATATGTTTTATTTTGGATTTCAACCCGATTTCTTCAATAGCGTGCCCCTGCTTTGATGAAGTTGTACATTCCTTCAAGCACTTTATGTTTTAACTCTAAGAAATATCCTGATGATATCATATGAATATTTGTGACTCGCCATATATCCAAACTTTTTGATGTATTTTGTTATTGTTTTTGTTATTGTTAATGACAAAACAAAATAACATATGATTATAAGGCTTTGTGAAGTAAAATTTTGTCTAAAATTAAAGGCACATATTGATGGTTCGTGGCTTTGGCTCTTTTTGCTGATCATTTGAATTGCCTTAATAAGGAATTGTAAACATTAAAGAGGTAGAGCCAAGTTATGCATAAATGGCCCTGTACTTATATCAATAATTAATTATCACCCTGTTTCCCATTTTATATGTCAAAATAAAGTAGACACTTGGTGCTTTCATGTTGTATAATGAAATTTTGTTTTGAGAATCCAAATATTTGAAAACGGGCTTTAAGAAATTGCAATGTTCTTATAATTTGCAGAAAATATGCGTATTTGACTACCTTCAGCAAAGAATTTAAATATGAGCACAGCCCACGATCCAAAAAATAAAACATCATGGTTTTTGATCTTCAGAAACAGAGCTTTCATTATTATTTGCATATTTTGGATCAGAGGTTGTGCTCTATATGAAAAATTGAAAAAATTCCTCAATTTTAGGCCATTTTCAAAGGAATTTACACAATATGAGGAAAATGACGCATTTGATGACGTCATAATCAATTGACTAGATGAAAAATTACGTCACAATTAATAGACACATGGTCACCAACACTCCAAGTAATAAATACTACACTTGCAAGCTAAACTGAGTGGTTTCGATTTTTCGGAAATTCTCAGGGCCAAATAAGGCCCAACATGGCTCTTGCTCTTTGGTTTTTAAAAAAAAATCATTTGAAACTATGTCCGTGTTATATTATGTTATAATTTGGAAGTTGCACCCGTTAATACTTTTTGAATACTTAAAAATTTACTAATGATGCCTTAGGAGTACTGTTAAAAGAGAGGGTTGGGCTTGATGTTTTTATATATAATTTACTGCATTTTTGGCGTCGGAAGCAAATTGAAAGAGAGGGGGAGTGTAAAAAAAATTACCTTAAAAAAGACCTGACAACCAACAAAAAAATGTCCAATTTCCAAACATGAAAATCGTAGGTTCAAACTTCAGTAACACTGTCTAACCAAACACCACCACTTTCCCCATTTTTAACTTATACTGCGACGTATCTGTGGAAAGTGGGGGTATTAAACTTGCAAAGCAAAGTTCAATGTCTATACTAAGTATATATTTGGGAAAAAAAGAGGGGGAGGGGCTAAGCCCCCCTAACCCTCTTGGTTCCGACGCCTATGTATTATAATCATAGGCTTTGGAAAGGGGGTGGGTGGGGGGCTTAGCCCCCACTCTTTTTTTGCAAATGTATACATACTATATAAATTCAAAATTGGAATTTGCCTTTTTTCGTTGGTTTAGCCCCCGCCCCCACTTTCAAATAGCCCCTCCCCCAACTTTCAATTTGCTTCCAATTCCAATGTCGTCCATCCGTCTGTCTGTTTGTCTGTCTAGCTGTCTGTCCGTCTGCAAACTTTTCAAATTTTTGACTTCTTCTCAAGAACCACTGGGCCAATTTTGACCAAACTTGGTACAAAGCATTCTTGGGTAAGGGGGAATTTTTAAAATTGTTAAAATGAAGGGACATATCCCCTCGCAAGGGGAGATAATAAAGAAAAGACAAAAATAGGGTGGGGTCATTAAAAAATCTTTTTCTCAAGAACCACTGGGCCAATAAGACTGAAACTTATGTGGAAGCACCCTAAAATAGTGTAGATTTTAAATTGTTCAAATCATGACCCCCGGGGGTTGCGCGGGGCCACAATGGGGAAACAAAGATTTACATAGAAATATATAGGAAAAATCTTTGAAAATCTTCTCAAGAACCACTGGACCAGAAAAGCTGAAACTGATGTGGAAGCACCCTGGGGTAGTGTAGATTCTAAATTGTTCACATCATGACCCCCGGGGGAAGGGTGGGGCTACAATGGGGTATCAAAGTTTTACAAAGAAATATTTAGGAAAAATCTTTGAAAATCTTCTTCTCAAGAACCACTGGGCCAGAAAAGCTGAAACTTATGTGGAAGCATCCTGGTATAGTAGATTCTAACTTGTTCAAATAACCACCCCCGGGGGAAGGGCGGGGTCACAATGGGGAATCAAAGTTTTACATAGAAATATATAGGAAATTCTTTAAAAATCTTCCTCTCAAGAACCACTGGACCAGAAAAGCTGAAACTGATGTGGAAGCACCCTGGGGTAGTGTAGATTCTAAATTGTTCACATCATGACCCCCGGGGGAAGGGTGGGGCTACAATGGGGTATCAAAGTTTTACATAGAAATATATAGGAAAAATCTATCTTTGAAAATCTTCTTCTTAATATCAATTCTCTATAAAAATCAAAATGACGTGGCCACGCGATGTCTTGGATTCAGCTAATTTTTTTCTTAGTGAAACTTCAATGAATGAAAAGATTGACTATATGAAAGAAAGCATGGTAGTTTACTCGGTTGCCATGGAAACGGGGCTAGAAGGTGTAAATTATAGTGAATTTTGCAATTTATCAATAATATCAAAAAAAAAATTTACTAGGCAAAGCTGTTAACGTGCATATTTTTTATATGCTTCATGACAATCAAAACTAATTTCTAATTTTCTGATGCCAAAAAAGTGAATAATTAGTCCTCGTTACCTCCCTTGTTAGATTTAATATTTAAAGACTTTGACAAGTGATGTGAAAATCCTAGTAGGAAGATTTAGATTCAAGAAATGTTATTTTGCAAATATCATTTAAAACATTTATGGGTAAATGAAAAATAAACATTTTATTACACTATAAAGTTTGTCTAAATGTGCTTTTTCTCTATCCGAGTTATTTCCCTTGTTGGAGCTCTTCGGCATTGAAGAATACAAAATGTGTAAAATGTAAACAAGATGGCAGACAATGAAATATGCATTTTTTCTTCTTGTTTTGAATCATCTTGTTCAGGAAAATGCTACCTCAAGAGACTCAGAATTTGATGAAAAACAGTTAACAATGTAGGAATAATCTTTAAGAAAAGCCAAAGGGATGATCTGGACATGATGAGTATTACACGTATAGCTACTCGTACTGAAAGGAAAATATGCTGATATGAGAATAAATCAGGGTGGTATGGGGCGAAGGTCGAGAGGATTTTAACTGTTCCCTTCAAGATGTCTTTGAAATAGAGATCGAGAGATACATGTAGTGGTGTGGTAGCGCCCGACCGATCCCCATTGCAATGTGTAAGTATTTTTTATTTATGTATTCAGGTGTCACGTTATGTACCTGGTAACTGACTGTATATTGAAATATAAGACAATAAAAACAAACAAAACCATGAAAACTTGGATGCACAGTTGCACATATTACATGTACATGACATTGAATCACATACTACTAATTGAAATATATGTACCCTTCTTGAGTACCAGTATTTTATTTTCTATAAAATTCAGTATATTTGAAGAAAATTGTTTGTATGAATTATTTATCCAAGTGATAATATGTTTGTGTCCATTCTATTTCAACAAATAGCATCTGTAGAAATCGTACCACGGCTATATTAAAACTTTGACTTTTGACAATGATAACTGAATAGTGGGTTAGATTTTTTGAAATTTTAAGCAATATATCAGGACCATATAATATTTCAAAGAATTGATCAAAAAAGTGTAAGTGTAAAATTATGAAAATTAACACAGTACATGCAGACACACAGATTTACAGCTGCTAATAGTGTTCTAGATCCAAGTATATATACTTTGTCATACTATGTGAAATCATTTTTGGGACCAGTCACCTTGATACAATTAAGTTATTTGCTCTGCAAGGTAATGTATTGTAAAGTAGGCAGGGCTCTCACACCACTTTTTGGGACTGGGGCCAGGGCCGTTCAGATTGGGAAAATTATCGTCATTTTGGGAAAAGATGGATAACACAAATTCATTAAAAAAAATCCTCAAATTTTGCTTTTCTAGCATTTTATCATCAATGCTAACTCTGGTTTGAATAAACAGTTAAACAGAACAAACAAACATGGGTACGTGGCTATTTATGAAAGTACATTAGCTTTGTCATTACTATCTTTGTGTGTTGATATTGCGGTTATATGTCTTACTGCGTGACAGTCACTAGTCACATAGTCCCGAATTTCCTCGATCACATGGGCAACTTTGATTACCAATACAGCGCGAGACTGAACATGCCGAAGCGCGGGTATGTTTCTAGGTGCAGCTTACTAATGTTTAAATGAAGTGTCTATTTTTGAAACCAAAATGCTGGTTTTTGTCCTGATACTCTGCACTCATAGTTGTATACATTTTTGTTAAAACAATAACCTGGTTCCCCGAACCAGTTTACGAATGCATTTGGCGCGAACTAATAAAATAATAGTACAGTTTCACTTTCATTTGCAAATGTGTTTTGTTTGGGTTTTTTTTTTGCGATCAGGTTTGATGGACTTTTATTTTTTAATTAATATTTTACTCTGGATGGAAATTGGGAAATTTACACCTTTCTTTTGGGAAAAAAGGTACCTTTTTTGCATTGGGAACGGGGCCATTGAACGGCCCCAATTTTAGAGAATGGAGAGTCCTGGTAGGTAAAGAAATCTATCCAAGGGTGTTAGAATGTGACAACTCCATTTGTACTTGGAGTTCTTATAAATTAGTTAATTGTCATGAAGCACTCTTTATTGACTTTTCTAAGATGCAGCTTTCTGTCTCATAATTTTATTGTACTGATCACTGTTTTTCAGCTATGTATTGCAGGCATATCAATCTTGCACACATTTATGGATAGTTTTAGTTTTACAGTAGTGATCTGTACAGATGAGATCATTCTGATGCTATGTACTCTACATGTCAAGGACATATTGTACTAATTAAAAATAATCACACTAAAGTACAAAATAAATTATACTAACGTACCACATTACATGTAGTATCCATAAAACATGTATGT